TCGCCAATACCCTTGCGGTAAATGGCATCCTAGTCCGGAGTTGGATGACGGGTTCCCCGGAGGCCTCGGCTATTCTCTTTTGCATCTCCTCCATTTTGGCCATCATGGCCTCATATTTGGGTTCTGCATGAGGGGTGGCGACGGCGGTATGTGCTCGATGGGCCTCCATTTCATCATGCCAGTGCTGGAGGGCCGCAATAATCTCGTCCCTGTGATCCTTCAGGAGGGCCTCTGCCCCCTGCGAACGAACACGGGCCGAGTGGGCCTGGTTGATTTGATGTCTTGCGTCATCGGCATGAAGTGGTGCCTTGCCTTTGTCCTGATGGGGACGCCTCTCGTCTGCCCTTGAGACGGATCCCCCGCTCTCTTGGGGTCTTTGGGACGCCTTTCCACCGAGGCGGTCTTGGGCCCCTTGGTGGTTTTGCGCTCCTCCGATCCTCTCGAGGGCTAAGGTCCGAGGCCTTTCTTTGTTCGCACCGCGTTGGTCCCGAGATTGGACTTCCTGGGAGGCGGTGTCTTGAGCTACGACCCCTTCGTCGTTCCCCACCCGAGGGGTAGGGTTCGCGAAGGGGGGTGGACGTGGGAGAAGAACATCGTTCTCCTCGATTTGCGGTTGAAGGGGCACCAGAGTGCCGAAGGCACCTTGGTTTTGAGTGAGTGTTTGGATGAAGGCAGAGAATGCCGACTGTACGTCGATAGTGAAAACCGGAGGGCTCACTTGATTTTCGCTCCGGTCCCTCCTTCGGGTTTCGATGCCAAGGCGGGCATCGGGAGCGTTTTGCTAGAGCTGAAAGCGCAGGTCAACAGCAGCCTGTTCCAACTCAGTGATGACCCCGCCCTCGGGAGCCTTGTTAGAGGCTCCGGGGGCGTTGACTTCACCGAGGGCCAGGTTGTTGTCCTCTAGGTTCTTGGACTGAACACGGATGGTTCTTCCCATTTTGGTAGGCGTTTTGAGTTGAACGGGAGGGTTTCTTACTTGATTGATCGATCTCTCAACGAGAGCACCAAATGATGGATAGTGTACCCGAGGGTATCTATCCGAGGGGTCACTGCGGGGAATAACTTAGAGAGAAGTCAGAGTAATAGTAAGAGAGATAAAGTGTATGTTCGATATAAATTTAGCGTGGTTTACAAAGGGGAAATGGGGTGCTATTTATAGCAGCAATAAATGCGAGACGAGGACACGTGTCAAGCATCTGACGGCCGAGGGTCACATCAATCGGGGTGGCACTGGCAATCCCATGTGGCTGCATTAAATGCAACGGTTGGATGTGATGTTTGTACTTGATACGGCGATCCAGGCGCATGTGGAGAGGAGATTCTGTCGAGGAAGGTGTCTTCGACTGTAGATGATTAGCCGAAGGCTCTTCGTACCGGGGGCCTCTAGGTGCCAAGGGCTCTAGGTGTCGAGGGCTGCTGTTTTCGCTGTTTTCTCCCAGTAGTCCCGCATGTGTAAATCGTCTGCTCTGTAAGAATCTGGAGCCTTCGGCCTGGGGGCCGAAGGCATGCCTATATGCACCGTCGGCTTCCTGTTACTCGGGACGCTGTAATTTGGGCATGTTGTGCTTCCTGGGCCTGTTGGGCCTTTGTTATAGTAGTGGGAGTCTATGGCCCGGGGGTCCCTAGGCCATATACTCCATTATTATTATTATTATTATTATTATTATTATTATTATTATTATTTAATATGTGTATATATACAGAGGATGGTATGGGGACGGCATAACCCATCACCGACCCCATATTTAAGCGGGGAGGAAATAATTCCCCCATCCTCATCCCCGCCCCGCCCCAAACCCGCCCCAACTCCCCCCCATTGGACGGTTCCTCGTCGTACCCATATATACCCATGTCCCCTAACTCGTACCCCGCCCTACCTCATCCCTAACCTCCTACCCTTCTTTCTGTACCCCTACCTGTTACCCCGCCCCCAACCCTTACCACTACCCCCAATTCCAACCCTACACCCTACCCCTACCACCCCTAAATCATTGCCTACCCATACCGCTACTATGACCATACCGCTACGACGACCATATCGCTACCACGAGTAGGGGTCAGGGTAGGGAGTAGGGGTAAGGGTACAAACATGAGGTATGGGGTATGGGGTGAGGGTAGGGTTGAGGTAAGAGCAGGTGATTGGGGTAACGGGGTAGGGGTAGGGGTAGGGATAGGGTCAAGGTAGGGGCGGGTTGGGGTTGGGTTGTATGGCGGTCTGGGTGGGGTAGGGGTACGGGATACACGTATGGATAGGCCGAGGGGGTGGGTCTTGTTAAGGTAGGGTGGGGTAGGGGTGTGTAGAGGTGGGGTTAGGTAGGGTTTAGGAGTACGGTAGGGTAAGGGGTTAGGGAAAGAGTAGATTCGGAAACTGAAAAAGTTTAAAGTGCCGCTTAATTAATACATGTGTGGTGATATGCTTAGTAAGCGACACTTCAAGCACATATTTCGGTTCGTAAGCAGCTTTTTAAAAATTGTCCTATAACTTACATTAAAAAAACAAGACAAACGGTGTAAACTTTTTACATTCTTACATTCCGCATGTAAAGTAATTAGTTTACATACTACCAAACGGCCCCTAAGATCGTTTTGAATATCGAAAAGTTGAAATATCATAAATTTACTACTATCATATGCATTACAGAGTTTAAACGAATCCCCAAAATTAATAACGCTTTACGGATGTTATAAGTTGAACTAAATTTTTCTGGTCTGATTTGGTTTGGGCTGATCTGTTTAAGTCTAGTCTGGTATAAATATGTATGCTTTGATCTAGTCTATTAGATGTTTCTTCCATGTGTATTTTACAACTGTCGAAGTTTCATCTTGTTTGATCCTTTTGAGTTTGATTTGATCGAATCTTGTTTGATTTGGTCTTATCGGATCCGGCATTGAAGCTAATTTTATTTAAAACATCGTAAATCAGTTGATTAATTTTGGAATCAATAAAGCTCAATTGTTCAATCATACAAGATTACATGTGAATCAATTAAATTATATTTGAATTAAAAAAACGTATTTTACAATTGTCAAAGTCTCATCTGTTTTTATTCTTTTAGGCTGGATTTATCGAATCGGCTCTGGTTTAGTCTTATCTGATCAGGGATTGAAATCAATCTTATTAAAACATTATAAAACGGGTGATTAATTTTGGACTCAATCAAGTTCGAATGTTCACTCATACAAGTCATTCTTATGCTGACATAACTATATATTTGTATTTCAACAACATCCATATAATCAAAAAAATTTAAGGAGCATGTGTCGGGCTCCTTATTGAGCAGGGGTTACATGTTCAATAAGGGGCTCATCACAAGCTCCTTACAATTTCTTTAAATACAATGGATGAAGTACGAAAACCTCCCATGAGTTGGGTATTAAGAATGAACTTAATTAAACGGGTCGATAGAGAATGACATCGATTGAGTTTGGACTTCTTGCATGGCGGGTGATTTTATGACACAGGTGCAAGCAGAATTTCAAACGAGGCAGCTGGATGATTTGTGCAAGCTTATATGGGGTTGCTGGAGACTGGTGTGAGCGAAATGGCATAGTGTGGAATGCGTGTGTCAGTGGATCCAAAGTTTATTTTATTAAAACCAAAAACTTTTGTTGGAGGTTGGGAGTGTGTTTAAGTGTTCAACAGATGCGGAAACCGAGCAATTTCGGGGAGGAAGGGATCGCTAATATGAAAGCGACCGAGTCCGGGATGTGTCAAGCTCAATGTGGGCACGGTAGTTCGTGATTATCATTGTGGTTGCAGCTGGATCCTTCAAATGAGGCTGGAGAATTCATTGCGGGAGCAACAAAGAACTGGCAAGGAAGATTATCCCCCTGAGAAGCCGAGTCGGTGGCCATTAGAGAAGCTCTTAGTTGGGTCATGGAGCACGGTTGGGAGCGTGTAGATTTGGAGTCGGATCTTTCTCGAGGTATTTCGAAGATTCAGAATGGAGCTAGTATATCGGCAGCAAGGATGATAGCGGAAGATATTCGAGAATTATGTCCATGAATGTTTGATATTTCTAGGATGAATGGAGCTATTATTGACTATGGGTTCCTCCTATCTTCATTATTGATGTATTGAATACCAATTTGATTAATGATAATTAATTTTTCTATTGTCAAAAAAAACTATTACAGAAATTACTATATTACAAATTTACAATAAATGGACGAAACTAATGCAAATGAAATATTAATTTCAACATTAACTTTCTACACACCATAATATTATCTTTTAACTTATTAAAAATATATCCAAATAAATACGTATATTGAAATTATGTATGTGTAAACTTTTATTTCTTTTTACTATATGTTATTTCGTGAAATAAATAATTTACATGTTCAAACTAATACCTTGTATTTTTGTCTGATTTTTGTAACATATACCTTATTATACATGTATACATACATATTTACATGTTTTTTTAAAAGTCGACATTTTTATCAATGAATTTTTGACTATTTTTTATTCGCGTCACCAGATAAAACGCGTACGTTTAATTCTCGTACCGTAACTTACGAGCTCTCTTTTTATGAGTAGGCATGGACCGGTTCCAGTTCAGGCCCGGTTCGGGCCTGGGCCCGGCCGGGCCTCGGTTCAAGAAGGGGAAGCCCGGAACCGGCCTGGGTAACCCCCGGGTCCAGGCCGGGCCTCGGTTCTATTTTTTTTTTTTTTGGCTTTTCCTAGTTAACCCCCAACCCTCCCCCTCACCCCCAAATCAACCCTAGCCACCTCAAATGGCCCAAAATACCCAACCCAACCCAAAAACTTAAAAAAATTCAAAAAAAAAAAAAAATTGGCCCGGCCCGGGCCTGAACCGGCTGGACCGGTTCACCTTTTGAAGGGCCCGAGCCCGAACCGCCATCCCACCGGGCCGGTTGGCCCGAACCGGGCCCGGAACCGGTTCACCGGGCCGGGCCCGCACAGTAGCGGGCCGGTCCGGTTGGCCCGGCCCGAGTCCACCCCTATTTATGAGCAATATATTCTCACTTCAACGAATTCACACTTCATCTACCAACATTAACTACAGTCCTGAATCCTGATGCTCTCTCTATTCAAATAACACATTAACTTGGCACATTCAGTCCATTAGGAGACATCCCATAATATTGGAATGGTATCGAGAAGATTAGCATGGCCTCTATGTCACACATACAATGGTCAAATACTCAAATGTACAAACTGTGGGGGTACAGATGTAAATGTTATCTTTGCTCGAATACAGCAGGCAGTTTCTTTCACTAGCTAACCTGAAACCTCACATCATGCATATGATGCCAAAATCTTTTCTCCTTTCTACAATTTGAGTTTGGTTACATCAATCTTTTGGACAGGATATGTATATGCCTCATAATTGATTTGTTGGCCCAAGGTACTTAATCTCGTAAGCACAGCAATCAAGTCAACCTGAAAACCCAACATTTCCCAGCACAATCATAGCTCCTTTTCTGTTAGTCAAGAATGATCAGAATCTATGACAAAATAGTGAAACAAAACTAGCTTGGTTGCTTGCCTCATAATCGGTTTGGGACACTGTTTCTCGGCTTCTTTGGTACTTGATAACCCAGGGGAGGACGTCTGGATCTGTGGCCAGTCTTGCCTCAGTTGCAGCCTGATCAGGACCGAGGAATGCAGACATTACTGCTAACTGGTCAACAAATTCAAAACTAATCACCACCACAAGACAATGTTTGCAACATTGAAAATGGTCAGTATAAGGAAAAAATATGGGCATAAAAATTTGTACTCCGTATATTTTTAGTGTTTGTTTTGCATTGGGAAATAAAAACGAAAGTTAAACTGGACTACTTCATAATGAACTACATATATTGTAAGTAGCATTTATGCAACAAAAATGTATACATAGCAAAAAATTAATTCGACCAAATATCCAAATTGATCAATGAGTTCAAAAAGAATCTCTTTTTAGTTTTTCTTTCTTTCCCAAACTCTCTTTCCCTCCACACTATATTTTTCCGTATTTTCTTTACCTGGTTTTTCTGGTTCCCAAACAAACCTCAAGAGCCTCTGGGCCCGAGGCTTACGTGCAGAAAATGTTCATAGATTGACTATTAAACTCTCAATATGTACATTTTCTAGAAGTAAGCTGGGGAGGGAGAAAAAAGGTGCAGTGCAAGGTTCATTGAATGCTATGTGCGGGAACTACTCTCATTCTCTAGGAGGACGATTCTTGCAGTCTCTGAACATTTCTTTGACTCTAGGGCATGCTAGAATCATTCTCTTGAATCATCCTTCAAGAGAATACGTTTGGAATGCAAGAATCAAGTGAATAATTCACTCATTCTTTTGATGCACGACTATATCAACTTACCTGACGGGGCCCATAGCCTATTGCTTTGAACTTATCTTTCATTTCCTGAACACTGGCAGTTTCCCACTGAGGGATCCTTCCCTCTGGGTCAGCGTGTACAGAATCAGACCTTCCAAATTGCTTATCAAACTGGCCCCACTGTCCACAGAAACATACCTCTTCAAAACATAATTAACCAACTCGTTGAAAAATAAACTTACTAAGTTGATGGAAAATCATACAAACATTTTTTAGCTTGCCTTTTAAGTTTTATAGTACTCATGAATTTGGTTTCATTTGGGCATAAGAATTACTAATCAACACTTTCCTGTGCATTTGAGCCGTACACACTATACAAAAGAGTCCCTTTCTCAGCATTCCCACCACATTTGCGAATTGCAGCATCAAGGCACGTTTTTTTAACCGCACTTTGTGCTGCATCAAGAAAAAATGAAGAAATAAATAAAAAGAGAGTATTTAATAGACTAGAAAGTTACCAAAGAGCATATGAAGCAGAAATGGCTCCTCTTACCTCCATATTGAATTAGATCAGCATATGAGATTGGTCCTCCCTTGGACATTACATCTATATCCTTCTTTGCCTCCTCCAACATATTCATTGCTGATACAAGTCCTTTATTTTCTGGTCTGCTCATCTCTGAGCTTCAGTGCATGAAGAAATAAAATGAAGACATATTTTGAACTTGAAATTTACTCAACAACAAAGATTGCTTCTTCAAGATAATGTTTTCATTCTCTGATAATTAGATTAATAATCTTGGACTATTTTCCATATTCATTGCTATTTTGTCCCTTATATTTCAAAAATATGGTTTCCCTGAGTTAAAAGGTCACTTTGGTAAGGATTAATTGGCGGATGGGCTCAGAATGCTGGACTTTGGCGTTTGTAAAAGTATAAACCAATTTCAGCTTGATAAGTAACTCAACACAACTTATTTGGCTTAACAAGCAAAAGAGCCGAGTAAACATTACCAATGGGGACTACACACATCCTACATTCCATTGCTTGTTGCCTAACATGCACATTGACTCAACCAAAAATAAAAGATAGTTGATGTAGACATGTAGAACTTTCCCTCTGCTAAAAACATCATACACTACACATTACATGGAAAAGTACCTGAAGCGAATGGACCCATTGGGACCCCCAGACTTCGAAGCCTACATATTTCCTTGGACTCAGATCACCTTCTAAAAATAAAAGACTTGTACTGTAAGAAAAAAGAACTGATAAGATCTAACTTTGTCGTAAGTCATTGCATCATTAAGAGCCAGAGTGAGCAAGGATGGGATGAGATCCTGATTTTCCTGAAACATTATACAGAAATCAAGATCATGTGATACAATGTTTAAAGCAGTAGTGATAGACATTCAACTCAGCCACCTGTTAAATATTATGATAAAGTTTACACACGGAGGAAGGGGAGGGTAGCTTTTAATTAGCCAATTATTTAGTTATGCTATTTTGTCCCTGCGTGGACACGTGACTATAAATAGTAACCTAGTTTCTATTTCTGAGTAGGCTGTATTTTCTGTTGGGTAAGGATTTGGAGACTGGGCATCTCGAATAAGCCCCTGAGCACTGTATCCCCGTGATCTGTTCAGTGGGAGGAATAAAGCCATTACGATCTATTCCTTCCATTTCTCTGTGCTTCTTTTATTGGTTGCTTTGCAGATTCCAGTGATCTATCATTGGTATCAGAGCATACCTCCTGGGGATCGCAATCCAAGGTCGAAGACAACTGAGCTCTCGTTTTTAGTTGTGGATGGTAAAAACGAGATCTAAAATGGAGCATCGCATGGAGGCTTTTGAGCAGGAGATGAGGGCCACCACCGCGAACCTCACTTCAGCGATGAATGAACAGATCCAGAATAGCATCGCAACATCGATGGCGGCTTATCAGAACAGGAGCGAACATGTCAGGGGAAGGTCACGATCACCTCATCACCATCGCGCGCGACAACCGCCCAGCCAATCTCATTCGAGAGGTAATTCTGTACACTCCCCAGTCTCTGCTCATCGTGTTCGAACGGGTAGGAAGGTGGATCTGCCGTTGTTTAATGAGGAGGGAGCGTATAACTGGATAGTAAGGATGGAACGCTATTACAGATTGAATGGGATTGAAGAGGAGGATAAGGTAGAAGTATCGGTTGTGGCCATGGAGGACAGGGCTTTGAATTGGTTCCAATGGTGGGAACATCAGGCTGAGGAAAGAACTTGGGAGAATTTGAAGGATGCTGTGATCCGTAGGTTTCAACCGGTCTTGATACAAAATCCGTATGGTCCTATGCTCAGTTTAAAACAAAATGGGACAGTAAAAGAGTATAGGGAGGAGTTTGAGATGGTTATAGCTCCACAGAAGGATATTGATAGAGGTATACTGCGAGGCATTTTTATCAATGGCCTGAAGGAGGAAGTTAAAACAGAACTCAAACTCTATAATTCCAGATCCCTATCTGCTATCATGGATAGGGCTTTACTGATTGAGCAGAGAAATGAAGCTGTGTATGGGAGGAGTAAAATTGCAGACAGAAATGAAGGGAGGAACAAGGGGCCTATGTAATATAGATCCCCAGTTTGGGGTGAAGGGTATAAAACCAAGTCTGGGAGTTCAGGGAACCCAACTGGAAACAGAAATACTGGAGAAGCTAAAGGGAACCCAACTTGGGTCAATCACATGGGGGCAAAGGTGACGGAAATAAATCCCTCAGGGATAAGAAGGGTAGCACCTCAACTGTCTCAGGAGGAATACCAAGAAAGGAGTAGAAGAGGACTGTGTTTTAAATGTGGGGATAAATGGAGCAAAGAACACACCTGCAAGATGAAAAATTATAAATTAATTCTGGTGGAAGATTCTGAAGAGGAAGAGGAATTAGAGGTGCTGGAACCTGAAGCTGAAGAAGAGGAAGTGGTTCACATGGAGTCTAAATTCATGCAACTGTCTGTGATAAGTAAGGAAGGGATCCCCTCACTGAGAGCTTTCAAGGTGCAGGGCATACTAAAAGGGGTCCAAGGTGAGAAACAGGTGGAAGTGTTGATTGATAGTGGGGCCACCCACAACTTCATATCACAAAAATTGGTGGATCAATGGGGAATACCTTATCAAACTATTCCGGCTTACAAGGTGCAGATAGGGAATGGTGATAAGGTAACCAATAATGGCAGATGTGAGGATCTGGTTCTCAGAGTACAAGGCACTATTATCCAGCAGACTTTCTATATACTAGAACTTGGGGGAACTGACTTAGTCCTTGGAATGGAATGGTTAACCACATTGGGGGATGTAGAAGTGAACTTTCGGAAACAAAGAATACAGTGGCAGCAGTTGGGGACAAATCAGATCATACAGGGAGAACCCCAACTAAACTCTATTGAAATCTCTTTGCAGACCATGGCACGCATCATACAGGATTCTGGGGATGGGTATCTTATATTTTGTGAACACAGGTTAGATGAAGGAAGGAAGGAGTTGAAAAAGGACCCCATCTGGGAAGATATAATGGCAAAATTTCCAGAAGTAACAACTCCCATGCAAGGGTTACCCCCTCATAGAACATGTGACCATGCTATTAACATCAAAGAAGGAGCAGAAATACCTAACATACGGCCCTACAGATACCCACAGTATCAAAAGAATGAAATAGAGAAGATAATCAAGGAAATGCTGCAGGCAGGAATTATAAAACCCAGCAACAACCCATATAGCAGCCCAATTCTGCTGGCCAAGAAGAAGGACGGGGGCTGGAGGTTCTGTGGGGATTACAGGGCACTGAATCAGATTACCATCCCTGATAAATATCCCATACCAATCATTGAGGAGCTGCTGGATGAGCTGGGTGGAGCTACCATTTTTACCAAGTTAGACCTCAAATCTGGGTACCATCAGATTCGAATGAAAGAAGCAGCCATCCAAAAGACTGCATTTCGAACTCATAATGGTCATTATGAATATCTAGTAATGCCATTTGGGTTAACTAATGCTCCCTCCACGTTCCAGTCCCTCATGAACCAGGTTTTGAGGCCATTCTTACGAAAGTTTGCTTTGGTTTTCTTTGATGATATACTTGTATATAGCCAGAACAGGGAAGAGCATCAAGAGCATCTAAGGAGTGTCCTAAGAGCATTGAAGGAGAATCAGTTAGTAGTTAATCTAAAGAAGTGTTCGTGTGGACAATTTCAGCTAGTCTATTTGGGGCATATAATCTCCGGAGAAGGAGTATCAGCTGACCCTTCCAAGATTGAGGCAATGGTGAACTGGCCAGTACCTAGAGATCTAAAGGGCTTGAGAGTTTTTCTGGGGCTGACCGGGTACTACAGGAGATTTGTCAGAGGGTATGGCAAACTGGCTCAACCTCTCATCCAACTGCTTAAGAAGGACAGCTTCAAGTGGGACACTTCAGCCACCAGGGCTTTTGAGGAATTAAAAAAGGCTATGACTTCCTTACCAGTTGTAGCAGTACCTGATTTCAACAAGTTGTTCATATTGGAGACTGACGCCTCAGGAACTGGTCTTGGGGCAGTTCTAATGCAAGAAGGAAGACCCCTGGCATACATGAGCAAGGAACTATCTAAACGGAATCAGGGCAGGCCTGTGTATGAAAGAGAGCTGATGGCCATAGTAGTAGCGGTGCAGAAATGGAGACCCTATCTATTGAGGAGAACTTTTGAGATTCATACCGACCAGAAGAGCCTGAAATTTTTAGCTGAACAAAGACTACTTGGGGAAGAGCAGCAGAAGTGGACATCTAAACTACTCGGCTACAATTTCATAATCAAATACAAGCCTGTGGTAGAAAATAGAGCAGCAGATGCCCTATCCAGAAGACCAGCCCTACACTCTTTATCCATTGTCAGTTGTCACGTGTCAAAAGTGGGAAGGATTGGAGGAGGAGCTACAGTCAGACCCTAGATGCAGGGAGCTGATTTAGAATGTAATAGCACAACCTGATAATTACCCAGATTTTTTTATGAAAGCAGGATTGTTATATCACAAGGAGAAGCTGTTTCTACCAAAACAGTCTCCTAGAAAACTTAAAATTCTGAGGGAGAACCATGACTCTTCTGTAGGAGGGCATTCAGGGTATTTTCGAACGATGAAGAGAATAACCAACTTATTCGACTGGCATGGTATGAAATCTGACATCAAGAAGTATGTCGAAGGATGTACAGTTTGTCAAACTAACAAGTACCAGGCCCTCAAACCGGCTGGATTGTTGCAACCCTTACCCATACCCAATAATATCTGGACAGATCTCAGCATGAATTTCATAGGGGGCCTTCCTAAATCCCAGGGTTGTGATACTATATTAGTTGTTGTTGACAGACTAACAAAATATGCCCATTTCACAGCCCTATCTCACCCTTTTGACGCTAAGGGAGTAGCTGAATTATTCACAAAAGAAGTGGTGAGACTACACAGTTTCCCAAAGACCATTGTAAGTGATCGGGACAGCATATTCATGAGTTCTTTCTGGTCAGAACTGTTCAGGTTCAGGCTGGCAGGCACTCAACTCAGATTTAGTACAGCCTACCATCCCCAAACAGATGGGCAAACGGAGGTGGTGAACTGATGCCTAGAAACCTATTTAAGGTGTCTTACAGGGAGGAAACCTAGGCAATGGAAGCGATGGGCCGATGGCTACACTGGGCTGAATTCTGGTACAATACGAATTATCATTCTTCCCTGAAACTAACACCTTACAAGGCTCTTTTTGGACAAGAACCCCCTGCAGTTATTAGGGGTGATGTAACCCTAACTGCTGTAGAAGAAGTGTCTCAACTGACAGCCCAAAGAAATGCCATGTTGGAGGAGCTGAAAGGGAACTTAGCTGCAGCCCAGAATTTGATGCAACAACAAGCCAATAAGGGAACTTAGCGGCATCAGAATTTGATGCAACAACAAGCCAGAAGGGAAGTACAAATGGAGGTAGGAGACTTGGTGTACTTAAAGATACAACCTTATAAATTGCAAAGCCCGGCAAAAAGGAGAAACCAAAAGGTAAGCCCCAGATTCTATGGGCCTTTTGAGATCCTGGAGAGGGTAGGATCTGTAGCCTATAAACTCAAGAAAGTGCTAGCTCCTAACACTTCTTTTCAGCCTCTTCCTAAGTGCTTGACTGAAGAAATGGAGCTGCAGGTTGCTCCTGAGGAAGTTGTGGATACCAGAGTGAATTCAGAGGGAGTAGCAGAGCTTTTGATACACTGGAAGGGCCTCCCCAGTTTCGAGGACTCTTGGGAACCAACGCAGGTGATACAAGAACTCTTCCCAGATTTTCACCTTGGGGACAAGGTGAATTTCAAAGGGGTGGGGGGTATTGATAGACATTCAACTCAGCCACCTGTTAAATATTATGATAAAGTTTACACACGGAGGAAGGGGAGGGTAGCTTTTAATTAGCCAATTATTTAGTTATGTTATTTTGTCCCTGCGTGGACACGTGACTATAAATAGTAACCTAGTTTCTATTTCTGAGTAGGCTGTATTTTCTGTTGGGTAAGGATTTGGAGACTGGGCATCTCGAATAAGCCCCTGAGCACTGTATCCCCGTGATCTGTTCAGTTGGAGGAATAAAGCCATTACGATCTATTTCTTCCATTTCTCTGTGCTTCTTTTATTGGTTGCTTTGCAGATTCCAGTGATCTATCAAGTAGTAACAATGCTAATATGAAAACATACCATTCCCGTTCAAAGAAGAAAATGAAAACATACCTTTAAAGCAGTTGACAAAATGTCCTTGACAGATGCTGTTAAAAATTAATCGAATGGTTAAAATAAAAATGCATTTTTCACATTAGACATTACTAACAAAATTAAAGGCTTATTACATTGAAATTCAGAGCGCTGTCTGCGTTGTATCAAATCAGCAGCACTAGCCACTTCAATCAATGAACTTGATCTTCCAAGAAGCTCCTACACATATAGATATAATCATACAAGTAAAAAATTGACAGAAATTCATCAGCATAACCATAACATATTAACAACACCCATAACTCATATCATATAAATATAACACAACAATTTATCTATGTATCTCAACGCATCAATGGACAAAACAAAAACAAGAAGAAATTGAGAAGTGGATAGGGTCACCAAGCTGATGGTAGCACCAATGCAATGAAAAAGATCGCGTCTGCAGAAGGAATCTCTACGAAGACTTGTATTTGTATCAACCTTACAATGAATTGAGCCCTGAAGGATGAATAATTACAAAAAGTTCTCAATTACACTTTTGAGTTTCATTATTTATTCCGCAATTTTGTGTTCTTTAGAGATAGGTTAACAAATTGCAAACATACAGTTGGAATGGAGTGTCTGGTGATAGTGTTGGAAGTAGGAGGCAAAGGTGGAAGAGCCGGGGCGAAGGACACCATCCCACTGTTTACTGACTTGGAAATTGTAGAGAGAAAATAGTGAATGAGCAAAATCGTAAATGGAAGGAGGCATCGTGAGATGGACTCTTTAGTCTTTAAAACTAGTACACCACTTGCCATGGTGTATGAGTTTGTTACACGGGTATCATTACCCTTACACATTAATGTAATTGGAAATAAAGTTGAATATCATAAATTATGATGATAAAGAAATGAAATAGTAGTACGTAAGTTTATCGTAATACGTAATTGTTGGAAAAATGTGTTAAAAATTGTATTAAATGGTCATTTTGGGGCAATTATTTGAGTGGGGTCCACTTCCGATTTGGGTCGGGTTAAAGTGGTTTCGGATTGTCCTTGTTAAGGGCTACAATTCGATATATGGTACGCTCAAAACGGATAACGGGTGAATGAGAAATTGATTCTCGAAGTTCACTCGTTGAAATGGAAAAACTGGGAAAATGATAAGTTTCTAGTGTGTTTTATCCCACACCGAAAAACTCAAGGGATTTTCACCCCCTTATAAAGGGAAGCCTCTTTTAAGGAGTTAAGATTCCTAAGAGTAAAGGCTCTCTCTTACGCGCAGGGGGGTGCCGATCAAATCCCGAAACGGAGAAGAAAAACCACGACTCGTGTGCCTTCTGTTGCGAACAGAGACGCTCGAGGTCTTCTGTTCGCAACAGAGACGCTCGAGGTCTTCTGTTCGCAACAGAAGATCTTCTGGTCCGTTACAACAATTAATGCCCAACGTTCTTCTCTTTTAATGCTGCGTTAAATGGACAGTTTATGGACGATTCAATGCCCAACGGACTGGTCATTGATGTCCAACGTTCAGGTCCATTAACACCCCATTTAACACACAACAAATCCTCCTATAAATAGCTGGCAGGTGCTTTGCAACAAACACACGGTTTGACAACACACAATACATTCCTCACGTTTTCTTGAGCGAAAAACACTTCTAGCTACTCCCAAATTTCCTAAGTGTTATTACTGTGTTCCAGTTCACCGGAACTTTCGTTTGTGTGCTCAAACGATCGTTCATTAGCCACCGTATCCTGGGAAACGGTCGTTGCAACGCTCCTAGCACCGTGGGAGGCGACGAATACGTTTTAAGGACATCGTGTGTAGCACCCGAGCTCTGGCTAAAATCTGTTCCATCTTATTTTCTGTTTTCTTTTAGCTATTTTATTTAATTAATATTTCTTCGTTTTTTCCGAAACACACCCAACAATCTTAAAACGTATTCGGTGATTGTTCTACTCCGGTAAACAATCCTAAAACGTATTTTCCTTGGTTGTTGTACTGCGGTAAACAATCTAAAAACATAGTTTGTCACTTCGGTGAACGAACTTAATTTTTGTGTTTTCGGAAAACGTTGAAAACGTTAAAATGGCTTCGCAAGAAATTGGAAATGTTGGTGGGCAGAACGTGCCAAACGATAATCAATCTGAAAGTGGAGCACCGGTTAACAATGGTTCACAACGCGGTGCATCTACTTTGGGCAACCAAAGGGCTATCCCTATGGTGACCGTGCCAAGCAACTCTGTGGAGAAACCCGAGAAATTCAATGGGTTAAACTTCAAGAGGTGGCAACAAAAGATGCTCTTCTATCTCACTACTCTCGGTCTTGCGAGGTTCTTGACCGAGGATGCGCCGGTAGCAACCGGGGGTGAGGTGGATGCGCAATTCAACGCGGTTGAGGCATGGAAGCATTCGGACTTCCTTTGCCGAAACTATGTGTTGAACGGGCTGCATGATGCTTTGTACGACGTTTATAGCAAATTAGCTACGACTAAGGAGCTATGGAATGCTTTGGACCACAAATATAAAAGTGAGGATGCCGACGCAAAGAAATTTGTTGGTCGTCGATTCCTTGATTTTAAAATGGTGGATTCGAAGGCGGTCTTGAGTCAAGTTGAGGAAATGCAAATGATCTTCAACGAAATTCGAGATGAAGGAATGACAGTTAGTGAGTCATTCCAAGTGACGTTAATTATTCATTTATTGCCACCGGCTTGGAAGGATTTCAAGAACTACCTTAAGCATAAGCGAAAGGAAATGAACTTGGAGCAATTGATTCTCCGTCTGTGGATTGAAGAGGTTAACCGGAAGAATGATGGGAAACTCCCAATTGTTCATGGCGCCAAGGCAAACATGGTGGAGCATGCAAAAGGCTCCAAAACCAAGAATAATGAGAAGAGCAAGCTCGGTCCCAAGGGAGGCGTTTCCAAGACAAAGTTTAATGGAAAATGCTTCAATTACAACAAGAATGGACACAAGTCCTCGGATTGCAATGCACCACGGAAGAAGAAAGACTCCCAAGTCAACTTGGTGCAAGGTGGGCAAAAGGATGAAGACATCATCCTAGCGGCTGTGGTTACAGAAGTCAACCTCGTTGGATCCAATTCCAAAGAGTGGTTTGTGGACACCGGTGCAACCCGGCATATTTGCTCAAACCGTGAGTTATTCACAACTTTTGAGCCATCAAATGGTGAGAAAGTTTGGATGGGTAACTCGGCTCATTCTGCGGTTGAAGGCGTGGGCAAAGTGGTCCTGAAGATGACTTCGGGCAAGGAGCTGACTCTAAACCAAGTTTTGTTCGTTCCGGAAATACGCAAAAACCTGATTTCCGGTTCGTTGTTGAACAAACATGGCTTTCACATGGTTTTTGAGTCGGACAAATTAGTTTTGTCTAAATCGGGAATGTATGTGGGAAAGGGATATACATGTGATGGGCTATTTAAGCTCAATGTAATGACTATTAATAATAATAATAATAATAATAATAAAATCCCTTATGCTTACTTGTTTGAGTCTTCCAATGTGTGGCATGGTAGACTAGGACATGTTAATTTTAATTATATACGTAGATTAATTAACATGGAGCACATTCCTAAATTCACAATTGATGTGAAGCACAAATGTGAAGTTTGTGTAGAGGCAAAACTAACGAAAACGTCTTTCAAATCGGTTGAAAGAAAAACGGAACCACTTGAATTAATTCATAGTGACGTTTGTGATTTTAAATCAATACAAACACGTGGCGGTAATAAATATTTTATTACCTTTATCGATGATAGCACTCTCTATAGCTACGTTTATTTATTAAAAAATAAACACGAAGCAATCGATAAATTCATTCTTTATAAGAATGAAGTGGAAAACCAACTTAATCGACGGATTAAGACGGTTAGGAGTGATCGAGGTGGTGAGTATGAAGCACCAATTGGTGACTTTTGCGCTAGTGTGGGTATAGTACACGAACGTACCGCACCCTATTCACCTCAATCAAACGGTGTTTCCGAACGAAAGAATCGCACATTGAAAGATATGATGAATGTGATGCTAGTAAGTTCGGGCCTGCCACAAAATATATGGGGCGAAGCAATCTTGACAAGCAATTACCTTTTAAATAAGGTCCCCTGGAAAAAATATGATAAAACTCCGTACGAGTTGTGGAAAGGCAGACGGCCTTCCTATCAATATTTAAAAGTGTGGGGGTGTCTTGCTAAGGTGCTTGTACCAACACCTAAGAAAATAAAAATAGGTCCAAAAACGGTGGATTGTATTTTTATTGGATATGCACAAAATAGTAGTGTGTATCGGTTTTTAGTGTACGATTCAAATAATCCGGATGTACATAAAAACACAATAATTGAATCAAGGAATGCTTCATTCTTTGAAGATGTATTTCCATGCAAGTCCAACGAAGGGCCTAGCACGTCAAAACGAACATTTGATGTAGCTATGGAAAATACTAGCGAGGGATCCGGAGAAGAACTCGAACCCAGACGTAGCAAACGTGCTAGAATTGAAAAATCCTTCGGACCGGATTTTCTCACCTACCTGGTAGAAGTTGACTCGGATATTCTAACATGTATGGTAGAAAATGAACCGGTATTTCTAACATGTTTGGTAGAAAATGAACCACGGACTTATACGAAAGCCGTGACGTCTACTGAAGGTCCTATGTGGAAAGAAGCCATCAAATGTGAGATGGATTCTATCCTTAAAAATCACACATGGGAATTGGTTGATCTTCCTCCAGGAAATAAACCTTTGGGATCCAAGTGGATTTTTAAACGGAAAATGAAACCTGACGGTTCCTTCGATAAGTACAAGGCCAGACTTGTAATCAAGGGATACAAGCAACGTGAGGGCCATGATTACTTTGACACGTATTCTCATGTGACGAGAATAAATTCCATTAGGATGATACTAGCAATTGCCGCATTGCGGAAATTGAAAGTTCATCAAATGGACGTAAAAACCGCTTTTCTAAATGGCGATATAGACGAAGAAATCTATATGGAACAGCCCGAGGGCTTTCGTGTTCCAGGCCAAGAAAGGAAAGTGTGTAAATTAATTAAATCATTGTATGGATTGAAACAAGCCCCTAAACAGTGGCACGAAAAGTTCGATCATGCAGTGTTAATTAATGGGTTTAAAATAAACGAAAGTGACAAATGCGTCTATGTGAAGAGCATGGTAGACGGCTATGTCATTTTATGTTTATACGTGGATGATATACTCATCGTGGGTAGCAATAATCTAATGATTAATTCTTCCAAAAGCATGTTAAATTCTAAATGTGACATGAAGGATACGGGGCTGGCCGATTTAATCCTTGGGATTAAAATAATTAGAGGACCTGACGGTCTTACGCTAAGCCAATCCCATTATGTTGATAAAATCCTTACGAAATTTAATAAGGATGATTATCAAGAGGCAAGGACTCCATTAGATAAAAAAAGTACAACTTACCAAAAATCGTGGAGAGTGTATTTCTCAAGTAGAATACGCTAGGATTATTGGAAGCTTGATGTATCTAATGAGTTGTACCAGGCCTGATATTGCCTTTGTGGTTAGTAAGCTAAGTAGATATACTAGCAACCCCGGTGATGAACACTGGAAGGCAATAATACGGGGTTTGAGGTATTTACGTAAAACCCAAAACCTTGGACTGCACTATGGAAGATATCCAGCTGTACTTGAAGGGTATAGCGACGCTAGTTGGATATCCGACATAAAGGACTCTAAATCCACAAGTGGATATGTTTTCACTTTGGGAGGTGCAGCCGTATCGTGGAAATCCTCGAAACAAACGTTAATAGCTAGATCC